TGTTTAATATTTTTTAGTCTGAGTTGATAGGTAGGAAATAAATTGTCGTTTCCCCAATAGGCGTTTATTTCGTCAGAAACGTTTCGGTCAATTTATTTCCTGCCCATCAACATATTACGGAGTTCCACAAAATTAGGATGGACACTATAACAAAATTTTTTAGTCTAGTTTCAAATTTTTACCTTTCGTTTGGAGAAAAAATATACAGGGTACCATGCCCAGTTTAACTTCAAAATTTCAAAAACGGCCCTTTACATCCTGACACATCATGTTAAAACATGTTTTACTGATTTGGGCCTGAAGTTCCCTGTACAATTTTTTCCAAAAAAGGACAAACTTTGCAAACTAGACTAAAAAATATTAATCGCGTATTTTTTGTTTACCTCATTTGTTCCAGAGAAATTCAGCCATCTAAAAAAGGACACCCAATATTTTGTGAGTTACCCTTTCTTTTATACATCGTTTGTTCGGCTTAACTGTCAGCCTATCTGTCTCTCTAGTATCTATATCAATATCCATCTAGTTATAATAATGTTTCTAAATAAATTAGATAAATAGCTAAGTACTTATCTTATTTAGACATATTCTTACAGTTTGTTGACCAAACCAGTGCGACTGAATAAACAACGTATTAATCAATCAATCTCTCCTCTTTCTCTTTTTCTTTCTTTGTCAATCTATTTTTATTCTTCTTTCTAATTTTCTTGTTTTCTTTTCGCTTAATCTCTGTCTCTCATTCTCTCTATCTATCTAATTACAAGAATTAATGTAGACAGTTAAGTATTGTACTTATCTTATTTAGAAACATCTCTCTCTCCTCACACACACTCTCTCTCTCACTCACGCTCTCTCGTTCTCCCTCTATCGATTAATCGTTGGAAGTAAAAGTAACAAAATTTTACGACTTTAAACAAAACTTTATTCTCTCTATCTATTCATCTTACCTTGACATATGTCCAGCTTTTCTCTCAATTTTGTTACGATATTTCTGTCTGTCTGTCTGTCTCTCTCTCTCTCTCTCTCTCTCTCTCTCTCTCTCTCTCTCTCTCTCTCTCTCTCTCTCTCTCTCTATCTATCTATCTATCTATCTATCTGTCTATCTCTATCTATCTATCTCTATCTATCTACCTATTTTATATTTTTTATTACTACTCTAACCCTTTTGATAGCTATTTTTCTATCCTTCTACTCTCACCCTAAGAACGTCAAAAAAACAATAAATCTTCTGTATCATATCAGAATTTCAGCCAAGATTGAGTCAAGTAGATTTAAATTACTGACTCTAGTGGCGTGTATGCTCAATTTGTCAACAATAAGGAAAAATCCATTATATTTAGTGGTCTATTGACCAAATTATTCTTTCAATTAATTAAGCTTTTTATGTAAGGTTTTGGTTGAAATGAAAAAACAGTGCCAATCCTGCTCGTGGCACTGGCTTTTTCGTTTCAACCAAACCCTTACATAAAAGGATTAATTAATTGAAAAAGAGAAAAATTTCACCAAAGGGTAAACGGACAATTTTTTTTGTTTCTATTTCTCTGTTTGTTGGTTTATGTGAAATCATCACAAAAACGATGTTTCGAATAATCCACCAGTTTCACGAGCTTTTTCCAGTCATGCACTTCTTTATTAAGCGCTTCGCAATAAATCAACGACCCGGCGGTGGTCGAGAACGGATTTAGTACGCTTTCACCACGGATTCGAGATGGAATCGTATGGGAAACGGTAGCCCTTCGCGTTTAAATTGCGCGAATGACTGGAATTCCTTCCAGTTTCAAGTGTTTGATTCGTCCGGGGGCACGGGACGTCGGGCATATTTCACTCCCTCGCCCGGGTCCCCTCTTGTCCCGTGAGGACGGATTCATAAATTCAACGAGGGCCAAATGAGGAATGGAATCCGGGACATCCGAGGCACCCACCACCGGTCTTTGACTAATAATCCCCCACTTCGTTAATAACAAAATTTTGGTGAAACTTCTTAACAAAAGGGTCAAAGTGAACAAGCAGGGATGAAGTTTAAACAAACAATATTGACTGCCACCTGATAAAAACAGGACATCTAGACAAAATTTATGAACGCGTTCTAACATAATCATGTCCACATAACACAAAACCTGGACCCAACAAGTAATTTTTTAATAATAATCACAAACACCAGCACTTTTCTGCGTATGCAAGTTGTACTTAATTTTCTTAAGTGTCCTTAATTTTTTTCACAAACACATGTTTAGATAATTTCTTTCAATTTTGTTCAGTATTTTCTGTATTAGTATTTCAATTTATCTATTTCTCTCCCTATCTACGTATTTATATATCAAATTTTGCTATATTTCTACATTTCAATATTTTTATCAATCTAGCTTTCAAAATATGCCCCTATCTACGTATTTATCCATCTATCTACCCATAGATTTATCTACTTATTTACGTATTTATCTATTTACATATCTATTTTCTATATATGATTATACCTATTTATTTCTATTTCTACGTATCTATTTTTCTCCCTATCTACGCATTTATCTATCAATTTTTTTCAATATTTCTATTCTATCAATAAGTTCATATCTACGAATTTATCCATCTATCTATCCTTATCTACGTATTTATCTATTTACATATTTATTTTCTATTTATGTGTGTATTGATGTACCTATGTATCTATTTTCTCTGTTTCTGCGTATCTCCCTATCTCCCTATTGATCTATCTATCTGTCTATTTATCTACCTATCTATTCATCTATAAATCTATCTATACATCTACCTATCGATCTATTTATCTCCCTATCTACCTACTGATCTATATATCTGTCTATTTATCTACCTATCTATTCATCTATAAATCTATCTATACATCTACCTATCGATCTATTTATCTCCCTATCTACCTACTGATCTATATATCTGTCTATTTATCTACCTATCAATTCATCTACAAATCTATCTATATATCTACCTATCGTTCTATTTATTTTCCTAACCTACACTTTATCTTTATATTGATCCATGTGTCTATCTATCTTTCTATCTACTTATTTATCTATATCTTTATCCATTGATCTTTCTATCTATTTACAAATTTATCTATATACCCAAACATTTTTCCTCGCATCCCTCTCATTTTTATTTATATATACCACTCATCTATTTATCACTTATTCACCTATTTATCTTTCTATATATCTATTTATCTCCCTATCTGCCTATGCTGTAAGTCTACATACTTTATCTTTAAATTAATGTGTGACTATCTATCGATCTGCTTATTTATCTATCTAGATTATATTTTATAATCTATTATATGATATTTATTTACCCATTTATCGTTCTATCTATCGATTTACATATTTGTTTATATATCTAACAAATTTTCTTCATATCCCGCTTTTTTTCGATTCACCTATTTCATTTATATATCTATTTATCTCCATATCTACGGATTTATCTATCTACCTATTTATATATCAATCTTTTTAAATTCATTTATATATTTATACTTCTACCCATACTATATATTTACATATTTTATCTTATTATCAATCTAAATATTGTCTATCCCGATTTACTTGTTTATCTAGTTATCTATCGACTTTATTTATACATATATCTAATATTTAACTAGAAATTCGAACAGTTTTCATCTCACACCACACCCTCTCTCTCTCGGTTTTACTAGTTTGTCTAACTATCGATTATCTCACTATCCAAAGAGGGTTTAGATGGAGAGAGCGCGAGAAAAAGAGAAAAGAAGTACAAGACGAAGAAAAGAAGTCTAAGAAAGATAAAATGTCACAAAATAGAGTTAAAGTTCAAAGAAAAGTAGGCACAAAGAGACGGCAAAGAAAGGGAGCTATCGTGAAAAATGGCAAAAAGGAGGGAAAAATTCAAAAGATGCGGTTGAGATGGTAAGTTGGTATCCGAGTGGAACGAGGTCACGATAGCTCAAGTGGTAGAGCAGTGGCGTATCAAGCCGAAGATCGTGGGTTCGAATCCCGCTCGCGCCATTGACTTTTTTATCTCGACTAAAATCCTTAATTAATTATAATTAATTATTGTATTTGGAAAGAAAAACAGTATTGAGATTGATAAGACTACAGTCTAGAAAAGCAGAAACTCAGCAGGATAGACAGACGCCAACATATACTCTCATTATCAATCATACATTCAGTTTCACGATTGGGCAAAAACCTTTAAAATTTCACTGGATAAAACGGGGCCTTGGAGAGAAAATGCAATGAGCGAAAATTTGCATTATAAAGCAGTCAAGACGGGAAGAGCGGTTTCTCCGAATAGGACCCGGCTTGATTAAACTTCAACTGTAAGTAAGTACGCTCACGCCAACTTTAAATTGACTTTCAACTTCGTAATTAATTTACTATTATTTAATTAAGATTACTCGTTTGTGTTTCGTCCCATATGAAAATGTTTAAAAAGAAATTCTCCTTCATCTCTCTTTCTTTCTATCTATCTAGACACATTCTTCCTATCTAGTGTTTGTTTTTCTCTCTTTCTTTCTCTTTTTCATTGAATCCCAGGAAAATAAAAATAAAAATAGACGACGATCGAATAGTACTAAAATGATCTAAAATAATCTGATTTTAAGAGAAATATATTAACTTGATTTGCATAAGAAATTTTTCCTTATAAAGCGGAATAATAAAACAAGAAAGGGCTTAAATAAAAGAACAATCAGTACCATTTTATAAGTCACGACGCCGTTGTTTTTGTCTCAGGACCTTGGTGAACAGATAAATATATTTTTTATCTCGTCGATGCACTAAGCATTAGGCACATTACGCAAATCTTTACGAGGCGTAAAAGTAAGCATGAAACGGTCGCCGTCCTAGGATTTTAATCTACTCATATCTGAGCTTAGCCGAAACGAGGGGAATCCAATAAAGCGGACGACTTCGCCTGAACTTTACGATAGTTTAATGCCCCGAGTGCAACTGGGGCCGAATCGTAAAGTCTGAGAGCTTTTATTAAACGTGCCCACTGACCTTTCGAGGATGTCGGGGGCTTCGTGTCGGTGCTTAGCGCCCGGGTGAAGTGCTCGTCGACGACGGCGGCCACATCGCCGGTGTAGTGGGTGAAGACGACGCAGTTCGCTGACACGTACTGCGCCCTGCTGCTTCCGCCGCTTTCTTCTTCCTCGTCAGTGTAGACCGATCCTGCAAACCCATAAAACACAATATTAATCAATAAATATATATAAAAAAAGCCACAATTACAACAGTTATTCATTGGAAGAAAGAAACAAAAAACAGATAAGGGACGCAATTTGAAAGGATGTCTATCTTATATCCTTACTTTAAAACTGGTAATCATAGTCATATTGGTATGTCTTAACTTGAGAGAGAGGGAGAGAGNAGAGAGAGAGAGAGAGAGAGAGAGAGAGAGAGAGAGAGAGAGAGAGAGAGAGAAAGAGGCCTAAAGAGATACTCAGAGTAAGCGAAAGAAAGTCATTTCATTTTTACTTGGAAGAAGTAGTAGCAATAAGTATGAAAAACAGCGAGTAAAGATGTCCCAGTATAGTCAGGTATGTTTAAAAAACGTTCACTGGACAAAATTAGCGTTGGAGAAAACAACAGATTCAAGACAGCAAAAACGAAGGGAATGGTCAAGAAAATCAGTGAAAATACTAGATTTATTGGTACAAACTTTTGTTTACAATTATTTACAAATCAAAAACTATATTTATTTATTCTAATTAACCAATTATTTTCAAAAACATTAGGTGGAAAAACAAAGGAAGTGTAAAAGAAGGAATAACTTTATTCCTAACTGTCACAGAATAGGTGAGGGTTAAAAGTCATAAAGAAATAAAGAAAGGTAGGCAGAAAGTGATGTGCATGGAGAGAGTAGCAATAAAAAGGAAATAAATGATGATAGAAATGATAGAAATATTTATAGATAGATAGACAGTGAGAGAGGGTGTGAGAGAGAGAGAGGGGGGATGTGCAAAAGAGAATATTCTAACAGTTCGACATCTTCACAAATGTTTTCATCAATAAATAACAGAAATGATTGTTAATCATCACATGTATTGAATTATTCAGAATCTATCTCCTAGTCTTCAATCATTTAAATGCATCTGAATATATAAATAAAATTTAGGGGAAAAATTACTATTATGATACTTGGGCTAGGTTGATTCCCTTTGGTTTTATGACGCAAAAAATATTTTATGGGACGATTTCATTTTATAGGTTTGCCAACACTCCTCATGGTGGATAGACCAGATCACCACAAGTGGATATAATTTTAGGGTCCGGTCTGTCATTATTCATGCAATTTCGGATAGGTGTCAAACCTTATGCGAAAAGAACAGCTTATTCGTTTAAGCTGTTTTTTAATTGAATTTTGGTCGAATAAAAGTTTTGTCATGAAAATAGTTGAAAAATTGCGTTTATCTGTCAGTCCAAGCTAAATCTTAAAGAGAAAAATCTCCTAGTGTTAAAAAAATAATTAAAACACTATTCACGTTCCGATTATAATTATAACATTCAGGAACAATTGAGACGGCACGAAACTTGGCACAGCCCTCGTCCTCTAACAGGTCGTAAATCCATAACATTTTAAACAAGGCATGAAAATCCTGTGAAGATAATTAACGGTTATTTACGGGAGACAGAGGAGGAAATAAGGTTTTCACTAAACATCCCAGGGACTGGTGGCAGTAAATAAAACAGGGGAACCATAATAAATTTGATTTAAACCTTCTCCCGGTCCTGGGATGAAAGAGAATGACAATCGCGGAAGGGGGGACTTTGGCAGAACTTCTGACAGGTCGTGACCCCTTGAGCATGACAGTCATAAATCAATATATTACAAAATTATTTGTGTATTTTTCACAAACAGTTTGTTTTTTGTCTAATTAAGGAGTTTTAATGCCACAAAGGTATTATGGTCTGATTTATGTATTTTTATGTGCACTCATGCCTATGATTCTTTTGTAAATAAAGTGTGCTTTTTTTCATACTGTGCGATTGGGTAATAAAGCTATTTAAAATTTTTTATTAATATTTAATACTTGCGTAAAACGAAAGACACCCATTTGTTATACTTTGCAGTAAGACTTATCACCATGTCATTGAAACAGAAAAAAATGACTAGTAATAAAATTCCTTAAGCCGAATCCGCCTAATTGGGCCGAGAAAAAGCCGATACATTTTCTTAAGTCAATTAAAACATGTTTGTTAAATTATAACGAATTCCTCAGGATGCTCCGCTAATGAGCGAAGCGAGAACAAGCCCGAAAAACGGCCCTGGCAGCTGCCCCTATCCCGAGCACAAGTCCTCAGATAAGCACCGGTGAGAGGTAATTGATGAAATGCACGTGGTCCGGAGGAAGATGGGTGACGTTAGATAAAGTCGTAGGTCTGTACAATAACCCATAATGCAGGATGTAAAATTGGGATCTGTTCCTCATTTGTGGATATTTCAATAAGCTACTCCTGTATTAGTATGGATTCATCTGTGTTTGGGATCTGAGTTTGTCCACGAGCAAAAGGGTTCAACACCCAGTCGGGAATATCCAAGTGAAGAATATCTTCAAATCTTTGGTTCAGGTCTGTATGAAGAGCCGTTAAGTGTTGACAGTAAGCAAGCAAATCTTCATCTCTAATTTGCAATTTCGAAAGATTTGGAAACTGAGATCATTCTCCTCTTCCCAAGTTTTTTTGTAAAGAAAAAGTCTCGCAATAAACGCAGATATTACGCTTTTAGTTTTGATTAAATTTAATTGGTCACCTTGTAGTATCAAATTAGCTTCGTTAAATTTGGCAAATAAATCAGACATATAGTCAATCAAAACAAATATATCATTTTTTGAGCTAATTAAATTGTGTCGCAAATCAGTGTCTTTGGTTTCCAGGAATTCCAACACTGAATCAAAGAGCGCATAAAATCGATTTAAACATGCACTTTTCGATAACCAACTTACTTCTGTTTTATATTATGTTATTTTATATTATTATTTATATTATATTATATTAAACCCTTCGCGGACCCCCTGACGTTGTTCAGAGACCCCCAAATCAATTTTAATTTTCCACGGACCCTCTCAATGATACCGGGGACCCCTGGGAGTCCGTAGGGACCACTTTGGGAACCACTGAACTAGTACAAAAAAAAATATGTGATTGTTAAAGAGATTTGGAAAACCTCGATATGAAATTAATTCTTCTCCAAATGATCCGTCCAACGGTCTTTAAAGATGAAAATAACCCTTCATTCTTCAATGCAACATCAAACGGACAGTACACAAGAACTAGCTACACTACCTAAATCTTCAGCAACAGAAATAATAGTTACATTGCTATTACCGAATCAATAATGAAAATCCAAATATGTCTTAGTATTGACTGCATTAATTATTTCAATTAATTATACTTTTTCATCACAACCAAGACCTTAGATAAAAAGTATAATTAATTGAAATAATAATATTGTTTTATTGTTATTTACCTCTTATTGCTCTCTCTCTCTCTCTCTCTCTCTCTCTCTCTCTCTCTCTCTCTCTCGGTCACTCTCACTCTCACTCTCTCACTCTCTCTCTTTCTCTTTCTATCTCTCTTATTTATCATGTTTGGCTGCTGTTTCACTTTTTTTGTTTCTGCAGTTATTAATTAAATAAAACGTTTAATCAATATCTATTTATCACTCTCTCTCTCTCTCTCTCCCTCTCTCTCTCTCTCTCTCTTACTTTCTCTCTCTCTCTCTGCTCTCTTACTTTCTCTCTCTCTGCAGCTATCTCACTCTATACAGTAATGATCATTTCTACCTACGTTTGCTTCCTTTGCTACTGCAATTTTGTACAAATCAGTTCATTAGTCTTTCAAATAGCCTGTCCTTTGAAGGAAAAAGAAACCATCAAGGGTACGTCTAAACTGACAGATTTACCTACATTTTCAAAAAGAAGAAAAGGCTTTGTGACAAATATCAAATAGTCGTTAAGTTAACAAAAATAATATAATTGTGAAAGCTTGTTAGTAGGACATGGATTACAGTATCTCTTATTGTCCTCGCCCTCACTCTAGTTGGCGTTAGGCCAGATGCTACTTCCATTTCTACCAAAAGGGTAAACGTTTTTCATCCACATTTTCATTAAGATGTTTTATTTCTAACAAAGGTTAAAAGTAATCGGACTGTCTTCGACCTTGCGCTCCGCGACCATTGTTGATCTATTGTGCAATTTCCATTTTTGGCTTTTCCTCTCTTAAGAGTAGGAATCTCAGCTTGCATAGGCCTTCGCACCAACAGAAGAAATGATCCGCTTTTTCTTGATAATGTGTATATACTTATTTCTGCTCCTTCGAGTCTATACATGTGCCTCTCGAATCTGCAAGGTCCAGCAAGCAGTATACTATCAACCTAGTCGTAACACTTCCTTGGCTTAATAGATAGATAGATTAATACTGTATTTCAGGAATAGCTATTACAGGGGGGAGCCAAATGGCAAAATAAATATATATACATCATTAAAGATATCTTCCAACTTAAAATAACATGACACTATTTACAAAAGTAATTAATAATAATAATAGCATGTAAGAACTAATCAAAATACATCATCAAAAGCATGGCGCCTAACTTAAAATCAATAATTACATGACGCAACAATAAAACATCATTCATTGACAATAAAAGCTCTCAATTTAAGTGCTTCATAAACCAAATTAAACACATCAATTGCATGGTTTTTTGCTTCAAATTTTAGCAAGAACTCAAGTTTGTCTAAATTGTTACTATTTACACATGTATCTTTGTACTTCTTTAAATAAAAGGATTTTTGAGGTTGGTAAATTGGACAATTTAAAAATATATTTTCCAAGTTCTCTTCAAACAATTTACACAAAGAGCACGTTGATTGTGTGTCCATTAAATATTTGAGCCCATTTACAAAAAAATTGATTTCCTTAGTACTAGACAGCCTTAGTTGTATAAGTAATCTTTGCTTATTTATTGACAAATTTAGTTGTAAATAATTTTCACATGTATACAAGGAGCTGATTTTTCTATAAAAAGGGTTAAATTTTGAGTTTAGCACCTTTTCTATGTCTATTGAGTAGAGATTATTTTTCCACTTCGACAAAATACGGTCTTTTTCGCGTTTTAGCATTCAGGGTCGCAAAAGCACATCTTGTTACAACCTAGCCAATCACTAACTTTTGCAATTGATAGAAACAGTCCCTATAATTTACTTCTAAATCATATGCCGATGAATTGGTTTTACGGAAGACATCATGAACCTTGGCTTAATAGTTCTACCTTTATTTTCTTGATCCTATGGTGAATTTTTCGCATGGATCGGTCCTGGGATACATTTCCTTGACTTTTAAACTAATTTTCTGTTTGATGTACGGTTTTGGCCATTTAGTATGCCATTAAACCCACGCACACTACAAGTACTTATCTTTCAAAATATCCTAAAACAAGGTTTTAATGGAAAAACATAAGGGTGGATGTCTACCTATTCTTGCTGGTTTTTAGTCAGAGCTTGTTGGATCACTGAGTCCTCATATTTAAAAAATCTGACATTTTAGTTACATTTTTAACGTAAAATGTATTTATTTTAATGATTGCCATAGATTGACAGGAAGTTAAGGAACAACTTGTTGATAATTTGAAGATGACAAACTTCAGAAAGATTCAGGGTTTTAATTTTTTAAAAATTAATCTTATTATTTATTAATAATAATTTGTAGTATATTACGGTGCGGTTGAGGGCTGGGAGGGCTGGCGCTCGCCCTGGGGGTGTAGAACTGCCTGGGCTCCGGGTCGCTACTTCCCCCGCCTGCGTCTTCTACGCTTCCGCTTACTCTCCCGCTGCTGCTGCTTCCACCACCGATCACCTGGCATACGAAAACCACAAAAATTAATAACAAGTTAAAAAAAACTCATGAGTAAGTTTGGTTAAACAGGAAAAATCTATATATGAGGTAACATGCTCGATGCTTAGGAAGAGCAAGAAGCGAGGTTAGGCGCATCCAAGGCTCGAACATAATCTAATAGAAAAATAAAGTAAAAGTGGAACTGTATATTGGTTTGTTAGGTTTAAAAGTGGAAAAATTTCCACTTGATGTCCTTCGTACTTTAAACCATGTTTAATTGTATCTTGTACACTTATTTATTATCATTACTTAATTATTATAATTAGACAAAATAAATTGATAATTGTGAGAGAAATTAAAACGATAAACAAGCCTGAGGACCGCAGGTGTAAGTAATTGCCGAAAAGCGACAAAACATAGAACGACCAAAATGTCAAGAAAACGATGGATCGTAAGATGTATCCGGTCCGATAAATCATTTATCAATTTTAAAGCCTCAGTGGGATCTATTTTTCCACCAAGAACCGTCTAACAAAGAAATAGAACATCACTTTGCCCTTAACTGAATTATTAATTAATAATTTCGCAATGTATACTGAAAACTTTGTCGTCCTTATAACGATGTAATTCTGTGACTAGTTTTTCTATTTATTCTAGATTTAAACATTCACGTCCTGCAGCAATTCGGAAAAATGAAAAAAGCCTTAGATTATTATCTTTTAAACATTAGAATTGATTAATTATTATCTAAATTTATTTTAAAGCTATTTATTAGATTACAATTAATTAAGGTTTTTAGTTGAGATGAAAAACCTTAATTAATTGTAATGTATTAATTGGTCAAGCGGACCACGAAATTAGTGAAGCTATTTATTAGGTTTATGCTAAAACTTTTCAGGCTTTCGATTTTTTAAAATTTCTTTCGACATTACTATTATCATAAAATATTTGGTCTTTACTTATTGGATATTTTCTCGGGAATGACAAGTTAGTTTAATTTGCCAATTTGTCCATGACATTTTTTTTTGCAACTTCCTAAACGTTTTAAGAAATATTTTTCACCTTGGAAAGAGTCGGCTTTTTTTCTTTGAAACGCCTGTTTATTAAAGGCGGTGCAATTACACCTGTTCTGGAATTCACTGCACTAAAAGGCAAAGTTAATTATGCCATTGGATACTTGCTAGAAGAATTAATTTATGCCGAATACAATTACTGGGCCTGAGGTCGAAACCGGGGCCTTGGTATCATGTCTGTCCATCTGGCTTCCTGCCGTAGAAACGGTGGCAAGGCACGCGAGCAGGACTTTGAAATGTAAAAACATCGAGTTTCTTGAGGTCTTTTTTATATTATTATTGAGCGCCGTTTAATAAAACTTACGGTGAAAACTCGGCCAAATTATTCACCGCAGGAAAGGCCGAGGAAAGGCCGAGGAATTGGGCTTTTTGAGAACCGACGACAGCGAGTTATAACGAAAAGTGGACAAATTGAGAAGGTTAGCGTAGAATAATCGAATAGAATAAAATTGCCAAATTTTGACGGTTTTTCACCTTTCTGGCCATAAAATGTAGTTAATTTTCTGAAAAAATTTGAATCTCACTTTGTCCACTTTTGATTATAACTCGCTATAGTCGGTTCTCAAAAATGTAGGTAGCACCTTTCAAATAAAAATGACAATGGATATGGCTAAAGGACGTAATGTACCCTTGAAAATACATTCTTTCTAAACATATCGATGTTATAAAATATATTTCAATTAAAAAGCCCTAAACTTGTTGTATGCTTACAAGTTAAAATTTTAGTTAACATTCAGAAAACCTTCAAGAACTTTGGTATTCTTTCCCAATACTTGTTCTTCCCAATTTGTCCACATTTGACAGTTCTTATGAAAAAGTTCCAAAACATTTTAAATACGAAAGACAATGGGTATGGCTAATTATACGAAATGTATCCTTCAAAATAATACCACCAAAAATGTCGATATTATAAAATATATTTCAAGAATAATTTACTAAAATTGTCCAATGCCAAAAGCTGAAAATTGTAAAAATCGTCCAATTTCGACAGATTTAGCCTTTTTTAAATATAAAATCTACCCAATAAAATGATCAAATTTCTTAAAAGCTATCATAATCTAGCGAGGAATTAAAAAACTACACTTGATAGATAAAATCTTCAAAAGTTCTACAGTTATTCAGAACCAACTCGCTACGAACGGGATTCGAACCCACGACCTTCGGCTAAATACTCTGACACTAACTTCCCATCTCAGCCCAACCTTTCGAATTTTCCCGCCTTTTTACCATTTTTCAAATATCGTGTAACCTATTTGATTCTCGGTGGCAAATGAAATGTCCACGGAGAGCTTTAGTGAAGATATACTTCATTTAACTTTTAAATTCATTACATTTCGTGGTCCGATTGACCAAATAACTTCTTTCAATAAATTATTCTTTATGTAAGGTATTGGTTGAGATAAAGAAGAAGGAAGATTATAGTCAAATAAATATAACAGTAAATATGACAAAAATGCCTTCTTTAAAATATGACAAAAAATCATTACAAATTATCTAAAAAGGAAACCTGAATTTATCATGTACGTACGAGGTTTATAAACTTTGGATGTCTGGCTGTTCCAAGAGAAAATTCCTTGAGTTTTCCTACCTTATTAATTGAAAATTGTCAAATTTTGACAGTTTTCGCTTATACTTACGATAAAGTTTACCAAACAGAGAATTATCGACAGCAATGATTAAAAAATTGATGATTGGAAACAGGTATATGGTCCAAAATGAAGTAGTAGTAACGTTTTTACCAAGCTTTCGGTTTTTTATTAATTATTTTTAAATAATTATTTTAATGGCATAGGGTCATAATAAAACAATGCAATGAACTTAAATACTTAGTTAGAAAACATTAGGGGAATAGGGGATAGGGGTAAAACAGGAGGCCAAGGGCCTTTGCACCTCTGCTTCAATAGATCTATTGTGCTCTCCTGTTTTATTTTATAATTCACTAGCCAGCTTCAGGTTGTTAATCAACCTCCTAGCCTTGACAGCGGCTTCTTAGTGAGGAGCTTGTCCTAGTTGCAATAACATGCACCTAGATAGACTTTCACAGAAAACATAAAATGTGTTCTGCAGTCTCCTCCTCTTCCTGGCAGTATCTGCACAATGTTTCTTTCACTCTTATCAGGTCAGGAGTCCAACCAGAATCCTGGCTCGGGGAAAATAAAATTAATAAAAATAGAAATAAAAGTGGCCCGTTCAGGTACTTCGGTCATTTTTTGGTCTTATGTTTTTACTTCATACAATAATAACTATAATTAATAAATATTATTTACATTAAATCGTAACCGTGACTAGATGCAATTTTGTAAAAGAGGTATCCTTCCAGTTGTATCGGTTAATTGGATTATTCCTCGTTCTAATCTAGTTCCGGAATCCGTTATAAATAACGGAAAAATGGCAAAAAGGAGGGAAAATTTGAAAAGTGGGTAGAGATGGGTAGTTGGTATCCGAGTGGATCGAAGTCACGATAGCTCGAGTGGTTAGAGCAGCGGAGTATTGAGCCGAAGGTCGTGGGTTCGAATCCTGCTCGTGACACTAGCTTTTTCTTTCAATCAAAACCTTACATAAAAAGATTAATTAATTGAAAGAAGTAATTTGGTCAATAGACCGCTAAATATAGTGGATTTAATAAATAACAATATGTATTTGAAATAATCTTTTTTTTTAATTTTCTAATTATTTTGTATTTAGTAAGGGATGAATAAATATATACATATAACCAAGTTTTTGGCGCTGATTTTTAAAATGTAGTTCAATCTCAGTATCACAGAATTCCGCTATCAATAATACCAAAATTATTGGGATCTGTTTTTAAGTACAGTTATTATCGTTAGTGTATACATGTATTATTTCTTTCAACTCGACTCCCTAGATTTCTTTCAATTTCTACAACTGTGTTTTTATTGCTGACTGTGTTTGGATAAAGCTGTGTCTAGCCTCTCGATATTTTTTTCATAATATTTATGTTGCCTCATCACAAGGTCCACAATCATAACTCCACCAAGGTATTGCTTGGTTTGGCCCTAGTAGGTCATAGGACAGTCTTTACACTTAACACAATATTAAATATTCGACTTCTTTAGTAGTGGATCTTTTATGAGCATTAATAAACTCCATCCAATTTTGTTGTTAAATTTATCCACTAGTTTTATATTCTCACATTTTGATTCTAGTAAGTTTTAATTTTCTTGAGTCATTACCAGCAAAAGTAATGTGAATAATGTGGGAATTTTTTTCCGACATAGCAGAGTTTGGTGGTGTAATGGTGTCCATTAGTTGGTTTAATAGCCTATTGATTAGAGACAAGGAGTGCCCATTATTTTTGAAAATATGAAAATCACGGTCGATGACGTTATAACCCACATTGATCTTCATTTGAAATGAATTTAATGATGAGAAACGTAATAACCTATTAAATCCATTATATTTAGTGGTCTATTGACCAAATTACTTCTTTCAAGAATTCAAGAATAAATTATTCTTTTTATGTAAGGTTTTGGTTGAAATGAAAAAGTCAGTGCCACGAGCGGGATGAAAAATGGCAAAAAGGAGGGAAAATTCGAAAGGTAGGTTGAGATGGGAGATTTGGCCGAAGTCACGATAGCTCAAGTGGTAGAGCAGCGGCGTATTTAACCGAAGGTCGTGGGTTCGAATCCCGTTCGTAGCACTGACTTGACTTGACACTGAAAACCTTACATAAAAATAATAAATAATAATCTATCTTTATTTGTCGGTTTGTAGTTACTATTTGTCACTAAGTTCCATTGTTCCCTATTACCATTACATCTAAGAAATAGGAGCTGTCCTTCTACTTCAATTTCATATTTAAATTGTAGTACTGGATGGTACGAGTTAAAAGCATCTTGTATCATTTCCAAATCTAACTTTTTCATTATCAGTAGAAGTTCGTCCACATATTTTTAAATCAATTTTATGACGAAATTGAAATTTAAT